AGTTAACCGGGCGGGGCAGGGGGCGCGGGCCGGAGGGAGTTAGCGGGCCGGGCTGGCGTGGGACCGCGTCTGCGTGGAGGGCCGGGGTGGGAGCCGGTGGCGTCCGTGCGCTGCGCGCCCGGTGCCACCTGCGCCCGCCCTGGGACCGGGCAGCCGCCTTCCTGGCCGGCAGCGCCTGGCGACAGGTGTGCGGGGGTCCCGGCGGGGGTCCGGGCGGGGGTCCGGGCACGGGTCCTCGGCGTTCCCGGGAGGCGGCCGGGACAGTGGGCAAGGTCGCCCAGCGACCAGAACCGTCCCCCGCGGGGAGCCCGCGTGTGAGACCCCGGGGGCGCGCGCTGCTGGGGGTGCGACAGCGGGTCAGGCCGGACTTGAAAGGAAACACCGTGAACCTGTTTGCTCCTGACGGCGGAGCGGAGCTGGGACGCCTGGACGTCGTGGGGAGCCGGGGGTCTCTCCGGGGCCACTCTGCCTGTCCCCGGCCCCCGGGGCAGTGTCTGGGGACGTGGTGGTTGTCGTGCAGGGAAGCGGAGCGCCTGGCACCGAGCCGGGGGGCCGGGGTGCTGTTCGGACCCCGCAGCGCGGGCGGCCCCGCCCCAGAGAATGCCGCGACCCCAGTGTCCACAGCGCCCAGGGGAAGAGACTGCGTTAAGGAGTCGAAGACCCGAGTCAGATCCTGCTCACCGCTCAGCAGAATAACGTTCTCAACGGGTCAGACAGCGCGAAGCAGGGAGCCCCACCCCCAGGGTCCGTGTCCCCTCCTCCCCATTCCCACTGCCCTCAGGGTGTCCAGCGTCCCAGGGACGCTGGAGGGCCGCTCGGGATGGCACACGGCGTCTTGGGGCGGGTGGAATCCCTGATTCCAGGGGATCTCTTCTGGGACTGGGGGTGATACCTGGGAACATGTGTGCTTGTCACACGGGGGGTTCGTGTCATGGCGTGGGTGAGGTCAGGGCGTCGGCGACCACCGTTCTTGGGGGAGACCCTGGCTTACCCTATGGCTTTGGGATGCTCGTGGTATCAAGGGTCTGCTCCACTGATGTCCAGACACAGGGGCCAGGGGAGGGAGGAGGAAGCTGCTGACCAGTCTGCCAGGGTCCCGGCACCAAGCCCTCCAGTCTCTCCCCTTTCTAGGGTGCATTTCATTGCCCTTGTGAGGAAGTCTCGGTGGGGCCACATCCGGCCTTCCCTATGGAGAAAGGAGGAGTTTCTGTGGTTCGAACACGGACAGGGAAAATCCTAAGCCGTGTACCGCAGGCTTGGGTGAAGGAGGGCCCACAAGGAGGAGGGTCTTGGAACTTCAGGAGGGCGGCGGAGGATTGGTCTGGGAAGAGCTGGGGAGGGCTGGGGGACCCGGGCCCCTTGCCGGGAGCTGCAGTCAGAGTCCCCAGAGCGAAGACGGAACCCCACGCACGCAGTGTGGGGGATGGGTGGTAGGGGCGTTCGGTGCCCCGCGTGAAGCTGAGGCGGGGACCAGGAGCCCTGCCTCTCTGGCCGCTGGTGTTTGTCAGTGCCCTGGGCGGCTGGAGCTTAGCACCGCTGCCCGTGCGGCCGACGCAGCGCGAGCCTCCGCTCTCGCATTCTGGAGGCCAGAGTCCAAAGTCAAGGGTCCGCAGAGCCCTGCTCCCTCCAGGGGACCGGGGGAGGACGCTCCCTCCTCCTCTAGCCTCTGAGGATCGCTCTCAACCCTGGGTCTCCCTTGGCTAGGAGCTGTCCCTTGTCTCTGTGTCTGTTGCCGCATGGCCTCGTCCCCGTGTGTCGGTGTCTCCTTCAAGGACACCATCCATCACCGTGTATCAGGGCCCGCTCGACTCCAGGACGACTTAGTCACCACCTCAAATTTCCCGTTTGCAAAGAAGGTCACCTTCCCGGGTACCGGAGGGTCAGGCCTGAGCCCATGGTACAGAGGACCTGACGCGGGGTCGGGCAGTGTTCTCACTGGCAGGTGCCTGCTGGGGCAGAGCACGTGTGTCCTGCTAGATCCTCACCGCGGGTGTGGCCGCCCCCGGGCCCCCGGGCCCCTGCCCCGCCAAGACCAGGCACGCCCAGTGAGTCGGCTGTCGGGGAATTCCTGGTTCATCCTCTCTGCCTCCCCCGTTAGGCTTTCCAGCTTCTGTTCTAGTTTGTCTCAGTTCAAGTTCATAAATGGTTTGTAAGGAAGTTAGCATCACGGATCCTGTCCTGGATAACCAGCTCCTGGCCTTCCTGCAGTCCCCCGAGGTACCATTGGGGTGTGTCCTCCCCAGCTCTCGGTTCCCTTGCTGTCTGTTACACGTGTGTTCCACAGACACCGTCATACATATTTAACTGTTGACGAGCTTTTCTCTTTTTGTCAGGCCTGTTAGTGTCTTTTGTAATAGCTTTATTTAGATCGACCCGCGTACCTTACGGTTCGCCCATTTCAGGTGTGCAGTTCGGGGATGTATAGTCTATGCACAGAGTTGGGCGATCACCGCGTCTGATTCTGGAACATTTCCTTATCCCCCAAGAAACCCGTGAGCCCTTACCTCCCAGCCCTGTTCTCCAGCCCCTGGCAAAAACGAATCTGCTTCCCGTCCGTGGAGGGGCCTGGTGTGGGCGTGTCACACGTGTGGACTCACACCCCGTGGGGCCTTCTGTGTCTGGTCCCCTCCCTGCATGTCGTGGGCTCGGGGTCCGTCCATGCAGCGCCTGTCGGGGCTACGGTTTTTTTTGAGGCTGACTAGCAATCCACTGTGTGGACAGAGCACCCCGTTCATCCGCTGACAGACTTTGGGGTGACTGTGAGTCACGCTGCCGTGGACGTTTGTGAACAAGTGTGTGTGGACGTGTGTTTCCGTTTCTCTCGGGCCGAGAGCCGGACTGGGATCCCTGGGTGCCGTGTTAACCGCGTTTGACCATTCAAGGAACCACCAGACTGTCTTCCATGGCGGCGGCCCCGTTGTCCGTGTCCACCAGTGGTGCCCGGAGGGTTCCATCTCTCCCCGTCCTCCCCGACCCCTGCTCCTGCCTTTCCGACACTAGTCGTCCTACCGGGGGGGTGTTGGGTCTGTATCTCCCCGATGACTCGCGACCTTGGGCATCTTTCCGTGTGCTGCTCAGTCCTCTGGGTATCGCCCTGGCAGGAGTGTCTTGCCTGGAGCGAGCGCTTTCTTTGGAAGGGACTTGGGGTCTACGGAAGCGGCCAGCAGATGGCACGCGGGGTCCCCTGGGCCTTCCCACAGCTCCCCCTTGGGCAGGCTCTCGGCCCAGCTTCTTCGTTCCTGTGAAGATTCTTGTCTGAAGTCCTTTCTGGGGAGAGGGTGCTATTTGTGTTCAAGGTTTAGTCGTGAATTAATGATTGACTCGGAGGATGTGGCAGAGACGGGACAGAGGCCCCCCGTACCCATCACCGGCTCCCCCCACTGGCCTCTCTCGCAGCGGTGACCAGCAGCCAGTGCGTTGATACAGACCAGGCCCGCCGTGAAGGGTTAACACCACGATGCACTGGTGTGCGGGGGCTGGGCTCGCCGAGGCGTGCGGTTCTCTCCCCGTCCTGGCTGGAGGCCCGAGATCGAGGTGTCGGCAGGGCTGATTTCATTCCAAAGTCTCTCCCCTGCCCTGTGTGTGTCTGTCTGTGTCCCAATCCTCTCTAATTCTGCTTTTTTTAAAAAGGTGTCATTTATTCGTTTTGACAGGGAGAGAGGGAGCACGAGTAGGGGGAGCTGCAGAAGGAGGGGGGAAGCAGGCTCCCCGCTGAGCCAGGAGCCCGGTGCAGGGCTCGATCCCAGGACCCAGGATCACGACCTGAGCTGAAGGCAGAGGCTTGACCCCCTTAGCCACCCAGGCGGACACCAGTTTTATGGGACCAGGGCCCATTCCTAAAGACCTCATTTTGACTTAATTACCTCTTTAAAAGCCATATCTTGAAATACAGTCACCCTCTGAGGCCCTGGGGTTGGGACTTAAAGGTATGAATTTAGAGGGGACGCCGTGTAGCCCCGAACGACAGACACGTGTGTACAGACGTGTGTTGGAGACGTTGCGTGTTTGGTTCTGGACCACCCACGACAGAGCGAGTCACGTGCATTGTTTGGTTTCCCAGCGCATATATGACTTATGTTTACGCTGTCTTGGAGTCCGTCCGTTAGGTGTGCCGTCACGTGATGTCCAAAAATACCACGGACATGCCCCAAGTTAAAAATACCTTATTGCCGGTAGACGCAGGCCGGCAACCGAGCTGTCCGTGAGTCATCATCACTGACCGCAGATCGCCGTAACGACTGCAGTAACGAGCTCGGGAGACCGCCCCCAAGGCATGGGGACAGGAAGCGAACAGCTGCTGTGCGGAGAACGGCCCCCAGGCTTGCTGGGCGCGGGGTTGTCCCAGACCTCTGATGCCCAGCCTGAGGAGGAATCCCACGTTAGGTGTTCTTGCGCCACACGATTAAAAAAAGTCAACCACCCAAGAGATGGACGCTGCTTCTGCTCTGTGAACTAGGGCACAGACTCTCCCCGATTTCCCCAGATGTCCCACCACCGTCTTCCTCGTGGCCCGGGGACCCCATCCAGGGCCCTGCAGGACCTTTGGTGACCTCGCCTTGTCTTCTCGGGCTCCTCCAGTCTGCGGCCGTTTCTCACATTTTCCTTGTCTTTTGTGACCTCAACACTTTGGATGAGCACGGCCCGGTGTTTGCAGGCGGTCCCGTGGGTTGAGTTTGTCCGTGTATTCTCGTGATGACCCTGGGGTCGCGGTTTGTGGGGACGGGGATACCTGATGTCCACGCCGCGTTGCTGGTGACTCCAGCCTTGATTGCCCGGCTTGGTGGGGGAGGGGGCTGGAGTTCTGACCGGTTTTTCGGGTAGTGAGGTTACCCTGTCTTCCCTTTTTTTTTTTTTTAAAGATTTTATTTATTTATTTGACAGAGATCACAAGTAGGCAGAGAGGCAGGCAGATAGAGAGGGAGAAGCAGGCTCCCCGCTGAGCAGAGAGCCCGATGTGGGGCTCGATCCCAGGACCCTGGAATCATGACCTGAGCCGAAGGCAGAAGCTTTAACCCACTGAGCCACCCAGGTGCCCCTACCCTGTCTTCCTTGATCCACAGTGTTTGCTGGAAGCAAGTCACTGAGTCGACCCTCACCGAGGGCGGGGGTTGGAGGGAGGTGAGGCTCCGCCTCCTGGAGGACCGGCATGGACCGGTTCGCATGTGTGTTAAACCAGGTGCTCAGAGGCATGACCAACGTCCTGCCTCTCCTTGGAGTCTCCCCAGTAACGGAGTGTGTGCGGAGTGTGATGGGTCTTGTCTGCAGGGAGGGCTACTGGGGTGTTCCCGGGGTGATTTTCTGCTAATGGGGGGCAGGTGGTTTTTTTGAAGTTTTCATCCAGGAATCCAGATCAAGCCCCTCCCAAGTGTCCAGTAAATGGCCCCCATTCCTTCCTCATGAGTCTGCATGAGAATTTCAACCTTACGTGTGTGTGACGTCACCCAGAGTGGGCAGGCCGCTCACCTGTGGTGGGTGGGCACACAGTGGGGACCACTTCAGGATGTTGTCACTGGGGGCCAGCGCTGGGCACTCAGCACGCTGGAAATAGCCTGTTCAGTCCCCGTGGCAGGGGGCAGGGACCTCCGGGTGGAACTGGGCTCTGTCCCTGACGCAGCGTGGACAAGCGGGGGTTTGTGGCAAGGGAGCAGGAGGGGTCAGCGGATGCGCATTCGCCAAGAGGACACATCGGGGCGGGGGGCTCTGGCCAAACTGAAGTGATGGGGCTGGTGCTGCAGACAGGCTGGGTGACTCCCCCCACCCCCCCACCTGGCTGGGGTTTGGAGAGACCGGCCAGCGCTCCAGGGCGATCGGACACAGGGGCTCTTGCTAAAACTGGGTGATGCAGAACCGAACTCAGAAGCCCAGATGCCACAGCCTGGCTGAAAGGAGGGCTCAGAGTGACCCAGCTTTGTTTGGGCCGTATATATAGCAATAGATGTCAGGGAGAGAGTCAGGGAGCCGGATGGGCTGCGGGAAGGCTGACACGAATCTGAGACGTGCCCGGGGCCTGGGCGCCTGTGGGCGTCAGAACTGAGCCATCCAGAGTTCGAGCCTGGGTGGTCCCTCCGGGTTGAATGGTGTCCCCCGCAGAGTTCCTGTCCCCCGGAACCTTAGGATGTGAGCTTATTTGGAAATAGGATCTTTGCAGATGTTGTTAGTGAAGGTGAGATCATACTGGAGTAGGCGGGCCTAATCCAAGGACTTGGTGTCCTTATAAGAAGAGAGACACAGAACCGAGAGACAGCCGCGTGACCACAGGGGCAGAGACTGCGGGGACGTGGCCACAAGCCCAGGGCCAGCTGGCGTGCCCAGAACCTGAGTAGGCAGGAAGGATCCTCTTCGGGAGCTGTTGGAGGGGCACAGCCCTGAAACCTTGATCCAACTTGTGGTGGTAAGCCTTACAGTGTGTGGTCTTCTCTTTCAGTAGCCCCAGGACACAGACTGCTTTGCAATGGAATGGAATGGGTGCATTTCATAACCTTCCAAGACCTTTGGTCTCCCTGTCCAAGCCTGGGTTAAGAAGCCGTGAAGGCCCATGGTCTCTGTCCTGGCTTCCATTGACCACACTCTGTGCTGGGGGGACACCTGCAGAGATCCCCGGGTCCAGGATTTGGGGGCTGGGGACAGACCTGGGCCTGGGCCTCACATTCTCTTCTCCTCCCACAGCTCTGCGGGCTCTGGAAGCTGCTTTCCCAGGAGAAGAGGATGGCTACTGGGTACCTGTCCCCCAGACCCCAGGTGAGTGGGGACTTCCTCCGGCCCTGACGATGTCCTTGGTGTCCAGGGGAAGTGCTCCTACTGGATCTGCATGTCTTGCTACGTGGGAAGCGAGGGAGCACTGCCCATGAGCCTCTGGGTCCCTCCGTGTCATGGCAGGGGTCAAGGTCCCTTCCTTTCTAAGGCTGGATCAGCCTTTTAGAGCCTGGGGACAGCTGCATTTGATGGGAAGCCGCCTTCTAGGGCACGAGCATCAGGAGAGAGAGAGATGGGGAACGGAGGCCACCATCGGCTGGGACAGCACATCTGTGGGGAGCGGTAGGCAGGGTCCCTGTCCCCTAAGTCACAGCTTTGGGAACGTGATCAGTGTCTGCATCAGAAATACAGAGCGGACTGGCCACTCGGGTTCAGGTGGTCCCTCAGAGAACAAGCCCTTTCCTGTGGACGTTTGTGAGTGACCCTGATGTCCAGTCAGTATCTGTGACGTTGTCCAGTTGGGGCCCCCGGGGAGAAGCCCTCAGTCTGCTCTGGCGCCCCACATCGAGGCCCCGGTCACCGCAGGCACACGTGCTTTCAAGCCAGCCCAGCTGCCCTTGAGGCGGACAGAGTCCCTGGGGACACTGTGAGGTTTCAGCTTGGAGCCGGTGCCGGCCCCAGGATCTGTGAGGTCAGGGCCGCAGACAGCCAGCGGCTTGTCCCTTGGTAGCAGCAAAGCGGAGATGCCCCAGGGCCGGACAGTGGCCCTTCTTGTCTTGTCTCCACGTGCACGTGAACGGAGCCGCTCAGACCTGGGTGGTCAGGCTGGGCGGTCCTGGTCTGTCCAGGCCACGCGGGATCATAAACCCCTTAGCAGCTCAGACCTGCGTCTTTAAAACCCCAATGGTACTTCTCCAGCTGGGATCGCCTCTCTTTCCACGTTGCTCTCCCATAGATATAAGTCATAAAAATCACAAGTCACGGAGACTTGTTTTTAGTATTTAAAGAGCTTCCATTTTAACCTCACCAGGCAGCAAAAAGCAAAGAACCTGTGTCCCACGGAGACCTTTTCCCGTCTTCCCTGCCTGAGGTGATCCATTGTGGAATTACAATAAATAATTATGTATATTTTTATTTATCATAACTTAAAATAAATAATATTTATTTATTATAAATATATTTAATAGGGGCACCTGGGTGGCTCAGTGGGTTAAACCTCTGCCTTCGGCTTGGGTCATGATCTCAGGGTCCTGGGATCGAGCCCCGCATCGGGCTCTCTGTTCCTCGGGGAGCCTGCTTCCTCCTCTCTCTCTCTCTGCCTGCCTTTTTGCCTACTTGTGATCTCTGTCAAATAAATGAATAAAATCTTTAAAAAAACAAATATATTTAAAAACTAGGAAGTGATATTTCACACTCATTTTTAATTGTACACCCGTACGTATTAGCCACAAAGTTTGAAGCCATTAAAACCGTTTCCCGGGCACCTGGGTGGCTCAGTGGGTTAAAGCCTCTGCCTTTGGCTCAGGTCATGGTCTCAGGGTCCTGGGATCGAGCCCCGCATCGGGCTCTCTGCTCAGCGGGGAGCCTGCTTCCCCCTCTCTCTCTGCCTGCCTCTCTGCCTGCTTGTGATCTCTGTCTGTCAAATAAATAATTAAAATCTTAAAAAAAAAACCTGTTTCCCTTTTTATTTAATCGCAGATTGACTCAAAGCCTTGCACTGAGTTCAGCAGGTGCAGGCTTAACCCGAGAGCCGCCTGGGAAGGGACAGCGGGAATGTCGGCGGCGCCCTGGGGAGGCTGCAGCAGCAGCCACTGGCCTGGAAAAGGCCTGTTTTTTCCTACTTGACCTAAAATTTTTGAAAAAGATTTTATTTATTGGAGAGAGCAGAGTGCACGCAGAGCAGGAGCAGAGGGAGAGGGAGACGATCTCCAGCAGACCTCACTCGGAGCGGGGAAGCCCAGTGTGGTACTCGATCCTGGGTTTTGATCCCACGATCCGGGGTTTGTGACCTGAGCGGACATCAAGAGCTGCACACTTGACCCACTGAGCCTCCCGGGAGCCCCCACTTTATCTAACTTTTGTGGTCCTGTGTCCTGACTTCCTTCTTCTGGGTGGAAGAAACAGAAACATTTAACACTGGGGTACCCAGGTGGCTCAGTCCGTCAAGTGTCCAGCTCGTGCCTTCCGCTCAGGTCATGATCCCAGAGTCGTGGGATCAAGGATGGAGCCTGGTGTGGGGTCTCCCTGCTCAGCGGGGAGCCTGCTTCCCCTCTTCCTGCTGCTCCCCCTGCCTGTGGTCTCTCTCTCTGTCTCTGACAAATAAATAAAAAATCTTAAAAACAAGAACGACCGATGGGCCACAGGTTCCAGTCCTGCCCGTGCACTGACGGAGTCTGACTCTGGGCTGCCGCCCGCTCCAGGTGGGCCGCCTCCCTCTGCGCGGTGGCTGCGTACGCAGTGCAGGGGCCGTTCTTGAGCGGAACTGCTGTGCTGTTTCAGGAGTCGCTGTCCTGGGAAGATGTGGCCGTGGACTTCTCCCGCGAGGAGTGGGCGATGCTGGGTTCTGCGCAGAGACGGCTCTACAGAGAGGTGATGCTGGACACCTGCGCCCACTTGGCTACCCTGGGTGAGACCGCAGCACGAGTTCTCCCACGGCTTTGTGCACGCTCGCTCCACGTCCGGGCTGTGTGGGGAGGGGGTTGGGAAGCAGGGTTTGTAGGGTGCACACCGCAGCGGTGGCTCCTGTGCCCGTGGGGCTCATGGTGTGCCGGTCTCTTCTGCACAGAGAATGGCCGCATTTCTCTGGTGTAGGACCGTCCACGCTGCTGAGACGCACTGGGCCCCTTAGGCAGAGATAACATCCCGAGTCCTCTTGGCTACAGTCATCATTAAAAAATTTCTTTGTGGTAAAATTACGTAGAACGTAAGATCTGCCTTCTTAGTCCATTTTCAGGTATACAGTTCAGTGGCAGTAATTATACTCCGGACGTTGTATAACCGTCAGCGCCCTTTCCAGAACCTTTTCCTCACCTCAGCGAGAAGCCCCATACTCACTAGGCAGTGACCACCCACCCCTACCCCAGCCCCCCTCTCCCACCCTCTCCTCTCTGTCTCTGTGGCCGGGACTCCTCTGGAGACCTTCTGGGAGTGGGGACCTGCGGGGATGTGTCCTCCTGGGTCTGGCTCCTCTCACTTGAGCCCCGTGTCCTCGGGGTCCCTCCACATCGTGGCAGGGGTCAGGGTCCCTTCCTGAGGCTGGACTGTGTTCCCACGTGGGGACGGACCATATTTTATTTATCTGCTTGTCCATAGATGGACACTTGGGTTGTTTCGACTTTTCGGCCACCGTGAACGTGGGTGGGCAAATAGCGCCTCAATTCCCTGCGTTCAGCTCCCTGGGGTCCATACCCAGGAGCGGAATTTCTGGGTCAGGTGGTGATTCTATGTTTACTTCCTCGAGGACCCTCTAGCTATTTTCCACAGCACCGTCCAACAGGCCAAGTGCAGGGATTCCGATTTCTCCACATGCTTTCTGAGACTTACTTTCTCCTTTTGCTTTTTATTTTTTATTTTTTAAGATTTTATTTATTTATTTATTTGACAGACAGAGATCACAAGTAGGCAGAGAGGCAGGCAGAGAGAGAGGAGGAAGCAGGCTCCCCTCTGAGCAGAGAGCCTGACGTGAGCCTTGATCCCAGGACTCCGGAATCATGACCTGAGCTGAAGGCAGAGGCTTTAACCCACTGAGCCACCCAGGCGCCCTGCTTTTGCTTTTTAAAATAATCGTACCCGTCCCCCTAGGTGCGAAGTGGTGTCTTCCTGTGGTTTTGATTTGCATTTCCCTCATGGCTGAGGATGTCGACCATCTTTTCATGTGCTTGCTGGCCGCTTGTAGATCTTTCTCAGGGAAATATAACAGCCACAGCTTTTTAATTAGGAAAATAAGATCTCCAGCTGGGTCAACATGTCACCTCTCCAGTGTAGTCTTGTCTCTCGCAGGAGCGTTGAAGAACCAGAGTTCCGACACAGGCGTTGACGATGGCGACGGCACACTTTCCCCAGCACAAGCCTCTCAGGCCACCAGTCCTTCCCCAGGGGTGGGGTGTCCACTCTTTCTACCAGTGGTGCCTTTCCACTGGGAACCAGGAGAAGCTGTGTGGATGGGGGCACGAGGAACTCCCCAAACCTCCTGTTCAGGTAAGAGCCAGGCAGGTACGTGCCATTGACTAGGGGTGACATCTTGGGGACTGTCAGAGATCTCTCCACAGAGGCCTGGACTCTGTCAGGAGAAGATTGAGGTCTTTGCTTGCATTTTCTCAGATGCCTTCGGTTCATCTCCAGCAACCTTGCCCTGTGCACTAGCTTCTGCCTCCCGCTGTGGGTGCGGAGAGGAGACAGCCCAGTTCTGTCGTGAAGCTCTACCACCTGTGTTTCTCGTTACGCCTCTTCCCTCTCTGCTTTCTTGAGGATTCTTTCCCTCTGCCGTTCCCCTTCTCCCTCCTTTGGAGAGCCATTCCTTCGATATGTACATTTTTCTCCCGTTTTTCATCATTGTCCTGCTTCTTACCCTGCTTTCTGTCCTTAGGATCTTCTCCTGTTTTCCCCGTTGAGTGCTGATATTTGAACATGAATTCACATGTGCCTTGCATATGTTGGAAGTACGTTTGTCCCACAGTTATTAAGTCAGACTTTCCTCCCCCTCCCCACCTCAATTTATTTCAGATTTGGAGACTAGTCTGAAAAGCCAAGATTCGGTTTATAAGAAGGTGGTTTTGGAGGAAGAACCAGCCGGTGGCACGGATGCCAGAAAGCTCCCCAGAGAAGACTGGGAATGTGGTCAACTTGAGAAGAACCACGAAGACTCCTGCAGGCTTCTGAGGCAAATGGCGTACGCCCAGGCGGAGGCATTTGCTCCAAAGGAGGCCACTGCCTGGCACGCATTTGGGGAAACCTGTAGCACGGACTCAGACCGTGCTTTGTCACAAGGAGGTTTTAGAGGAGGACGTTTCCATGACTGTGATCTTGATATTGAGAGTCTGGTAGCCGATCCATTTTTAAAACACCATCGGGTGGGGTATTCAGACCAGAGGCCGTGTGAAGGCAAGGAATACGGAAAAGACATCAGCCCAGACGGTCCCCTTGGTCAGCACGAAAGGATGGGAACTTGTGTGTACCCAGAAAGTGGGGAGTCATTTAATCATAGTATGGCTCTTATGACCCACAACGCGGCGGGGAAACCCTATGAATGCTACCACTGCGGGAAAATGTTTAATCGGAGGCATTCCCTGAGTGAGCATCAGAGAATACATACTGGGGAGAGACCCTATGAGTGTCAGGAATGTGGGAGAGCCTTTACGCACAGCTCAACCCTCACGCGGCACCTGAGAACTCATACTGGAGAGAAGCCCTACGCGTGCAGTGACTGTGGGAAAGCCTTCAACAGGATTTCGTCTCTTACCCAGCACCAGAGGATTCACACAGGGGAGAAGCCTTACAAATGCAAGGACTGTGGAAAGTCCTTCTGCCAGAGTTCTTACCTGATCTTGCACAAGAGAACGCATACTGGAGAGAAGCCCTACGAGTGTAACGAGTGTGGAAAGGCCTTCAGTGATCGCTCCTCGCTCAACCAACACGAGCGAACTCACACCGGGGAGAACCCCTATGAATGTAATCAGTGTGGGAGAGCCTTCAGCCAGAGGTCTTCCCTCGTTAGGCACCAGAGAACTCACACTGGAGAGAAACCGTACAGCTGTCCTGAGTGTGGGAAAGCCTTCAGCCAGAGCTCCTCCCTCATCACCCACCAGAAAACTCACACTAGTCAGAAAACCTACAAAATAATTGACTGCGGAAAAGCTTTCTATCAGAGCAGCCACCTTCTTGGATTTTAGAGAACGCTTGCTGCTCTGTGAAGTGACTCGTAGCCGTCCACTATGGAAGGGGGTTGGGTTTTGCCCGTCTGATGTTCTCCTTGGAAAGAAGTAGGCGTAGGCCACATTCTTGAGGAGAAGCAGGGAGGTCCGGATCTGAGAAGGGACCTTCTACTGGGGAAAATTAACACTGAGCCGCGCCCGGTGCCTGACGTTTTGGAGAAGACTGACGCACGGGAATGCTAACAGGCAGTGCGGTTTGACTGTGGATCGTCGCATTGATTCAGTCGTTGAAACTAAAGACACTCTGTTTCAGCCTTTTGTTTGAAAATTCAGTATTTTTGTTTCAGTGGTCTGTTTCAGTATTTTATGTAGTCATCCTGCCCCTGTTGGCCCCGCAGCCCGGTCCTCCCTTGTTTCGTGCCTTGCTACGGCAAAGCAGAATGTGTGCTAACACAGAAAGAGCTTCGGGTGCGAAGTGGAAAATGAAGAGTGCAGAATGGTGTGTGCGATTCTGTGCAGGGAAGTCAAGATGTGTGTGCGAGGGCACAGAGGCCGGACAGGGATGCGGAGGAATGAGCAGAATTTGTCTGTCGGAATTACCCGATCGTGTGTGATTTTTCTACCTTCTGCCCTTTCGTTTGGTAGGGCTGCAACGGGCTTGACAGTCAGTAGAAATCAGACGACCCCGAGGGATATCAAGTTTCTTGGACCCGTCAGGGAGGACCGTGGCCATCATGAGGGGATGGATGCAGTGTAGTAGGTCCTGGGACAGGGGAAGTGGAGCAGCCTGGGGTGGCCTGGGAGCGGTCCCCGCCGTGAGGCAGACCTGCCAGAGTGGAGACCACGAGCTCTGGTGTGCGTCAGTGTCAACGTTCACTGGTCGCTTGCTTGCTCTGTTTCCAGCCTCACTCTAGCGCTTACACGTGGTTCCTCGTTTAATCTGAGCAAGGCCGTGAGATGGGAGATGTTCACGTCCCTACGTGACAGAAGGGGAAACAGAAATAAGGTAACTTGTCCAAAGTCAGATGACTAGAACGTGGCAGAGCCAGGATCTGAACTTGAACAACCTGAGCAAGGTGTGTGCCACATTTGGGCGCAGGGGCGTGGGCTGTGTTTTCTAAATTCTACCCTGGGAACCCCCTGACTTCCATCTGAATCTTCCCTCTCTGGGGAGCTGGTGAGGATGGTTGGGTTCCAGCTAAGTGAAACCCCATCACAGTGGCCTTGTTGCCTTTCTCCACAGTGGAGATCCCTCATCTGGAATCCGTGTAGAGCCTACTGGGACGATGGGTGTTTCTTGAAGGGATCTGTGGACGGTCTTGAGCCAGACACGGAACGTGTGCTGGGGCACAATGTGTCATCTGGGGCAGCGTCTCACTTTCCTCCCATTCTGAGGACTGGCGGATGGGGTGTCCCGAGTGCACTGTTTTTCGGTCTCGATCCCTCGCTGCCTCCAACAATTATTTGTAGAGAACCTGAACTCCTTGTGCCAGGTGGCCGTGTGTAAGAAAGACGAGGTGTCTGCCCTCCCTGCACATATGCCCCCGTAAGGTGGAAGCAGGGTGGCCTCGTGGGTTGTGACATGTGCAGTCACCCAAGTGTGTCTCTCAGAAAGGTTCTGCAGTTGGTTGGATACTCTGCTGTATCCGTCTTGATAGTCTTAATAACTTTGAACAGAGGATCCCCTCCCCCGCTACGTTTTTATTTTGCAGCGAGCCTGGCCCACTGTGTAGCCAGGCCCGGGATGGAGCGAGGGGCCAGGATGCGCATGAAACAGCTGACTACACACTCTACTTAAATCATTACGGATTTTGGTAGTGATCTGGGGGACTTAGGATGCTGCTGTGATAGAGGATACGAGAGGGACCAACCCCAGGGCCTTCTGAGAACCTGACACTTGGTTGGAGATGTGAGTCTGGAGCATCCAACGGCAGTAATTTAACCAGAGGCAAGCTGAAGTTTAGCTTTGTTGTCATGTATTTAACAATATACGTATTTACAAGGGTGTCTGGCCGGCTCGGTCAGTAGAACGTGCAACTCTTGATCTCAGAGTCGTGAGTTCAAGCCCCACGTTGGGCATGGAGGCTACTTAAAAATATATTTACAATGTTCGTTTTGATTTCTCGGACTCAAAAGTATTTTGAGAGAGAGTATATGTTTTTTTAAACTTTTGGGTGTTTCAATACCCTTCTCCATCTTCTTAAAAACAAATTCTTTTTCTTGTCTGATTGCACTGGCTCAGTGCTTTAGTACAGGGCTGAACAGGAGTGTTGAGAACAGACCTCCTTGCTTTGTTGCAGATCGTAGGGAAAAGCGTCCGGTCTTTCACCTTGGAGTGCAATGTTTTCTGTGGGCTTCCTGTAAATTTCACCATCTTTATTCAGTTTCTGCTTTCATCGTGCTGTGGTCTGAGAAAACTGGTGGGATTTAGTACAGTTTAGCGGTAGATACACAAGTGTTCAGAAAGTTACTCACTGCATGTTCTGTGGAAATGTTGCAGGACAGTTTCAAACCCCTCCTCTTCTCCTGGGGTTGGGATTCTCATTAACACACGCTCTTGGGAGGACTGAAAACCAGGCCTCCTAACGTTTCACAGAAGGATGCTTATGTGGGCCGAACTTCTCGCCAGAATATCATCTGTTTACAAAGTGCTACATTTCAAACCCCAAGACGATGTTCTCTGAAAACCTGCTGGGTCACTCCACGCTGGGCAGGTTGTAGGAGCAGAGTCAGGTTGAAGGAGCACCTGGAAAGTTGAGCACTGTCTCAGGAAAAATGAGGTTGGCAAGAGGCGTTCTTGGTGCCGTGACCAGAGCCGTTTTCCTCTGGTTCGGACCCACAGTGTGAGCTTCCTGCCACGGCTCTAACAAATCACACATTCAGTGACTTAAAACAGCCGATTTCTTTAAAAGTTCTGGAGGTCAGAGGTCCAAAACCAAAGTGCTGGTGAGGCTATGTTCTTTTCGGAGAGCCTAATGGAGAATGTGTTCCCTTATCTTTTCTGGTCTCTCGAAGCCACTCAAATTCCTTGCCTCCACCATCCCCCTCCGTCCTCCCTGCCAGGAGCGTGGCGTCTGCCCATCTCTGAGGACCTCCGCCCTCTGCCTCCCTCTTGTGAGGCCCTTGTGAGGACCCTGGTGCCCCAGGGAACACAGGATCATCCTCACCTTGGAGCGTTAATCACTTCGCAAAGTCCCTTTTGCCACAGGAGGTGGCGTATTCCGGTCCCGTGATTAGGGCGTGTGCCGCCCGCCACACCTTTCCCACTTTGCTTTATGATGTGGGGTTGAAATCCTGCGAACTGGGTCTGCTGTGTAGACTCCCCTGACAGTAGAACCTGCTCACCAAAGAGGCTGCCCGAGGGAGACGGGGTCTTGCTCCTTCCTGTCCCTGTCACTGCTGGCAGCTTTGAGACCTCGATCTGTGAATCACAGCCTACCTTGACACACTTCTTTCCCTGGGGGTTACTATAGTTTTTTCCTTTTTCTCTGGTTGCAGTGAACGTTTTGCAAGAATTCATAGACAAGCTTCATTTTTCACCTTAATAAACGAAATGACATGTCCTTTATTATTTTTTTAAAAATTTTATTTTTTTAAAAAGGTTTTATTTATTTATTTGACAGAGATCACAGCAGGAAGAGAGGCAGAGAGAGAGGAAGGGAAGCAGGCTACCTGCTGAGCAGAGAGCCCTATGCAGGGCTCGATCCCAGGACCCTGAGATCCTGACCTGAGCCAGGGCAGAGGCTCAGCCGACTTAGCCCCCGCGCCCCCGCACGTCCTCCGTGAGGGCTGCTTACGGGACGTTTATCTGAACACAGGGCCGGCGGACCGGGGAGCTGGAGGTCCAATCCCGGACCCAGTCCTAGGGCAGACTTCTGAATCTGGTGGTTTTATGGAAGCTTAGGATTCGTTATTAATCCATATTAAGCAAAAAAAAGTATATCATCATTTTCAATAGTTTATTAAATTCATTCCATAAATCTTTTTAAAAACATTGTTCGTGAAGGAAGAGGCGACGCCGGAATCTGGACGCGGCGCGAGCGGCCGGAGCGCCTTGGCTGTCCGGCCCCAGCCGTTAAGGATATTAAGGGTTTTCAGGTCCGTCCCAGGGCGTCCCACAAACTACTTCGCCGTTTCTCAGTGAAAACAGGAATTCCGTTGCCTTCGGGACACCGGGCACTTCATACTGCAAAGCCCCCGGGGACGCATCAGATCCCGCTCCGGCCCGCAGAGCGCGCCCCGGCGGACTTCAGGGCTGCTCCGCCCCAACCCTTCCGGGCCCGGGGCCAGGGGCCAGGGACCCGGTTTGCGACCTCCAGCGGGGGGTCGGGCAGGGGCGGGGCCTCCGGGTCAAAGGTCGCCGCAGCCCCCGCGCTCCCCGACCTCCCACGCGGTGACGTCACTGTGGCGGGTCTTTGTTCTTAAACAAAGAGCGCGGGGCCACGGTGACCTCGACCCCAGGCCTTCCGGTCCCGTCCGTTCTCGTCCCGGCTCCGACAAGGGGCGCTCCGCGGGGACACTGAGTCGGTACCGCCCGGCCCAGCAGAAGGACGCGGGCCGAGCGCCGAGGGGCGAGGAGACGCCGGACCCGCCGCGCCGGGATCGGGTTCCGCGGGGAGCGCGCGTCCGGAGCGGGCGGGTCAGGCGTGTGTGTCCGGGCTGCGTGTCACTCAGGCGCAGAGGCGTGGTCTTGGAGAACTGTCCAATCAGGATGACAGGGGCGGTTCTCGGAGAACAATCCGGGGCTCCTGGGTGGTTCCCGGAGAGCTAGCCAATCAAGGGCTTGGGTCCGGAGCCCTGCCCAATCAGGGGCCCCAGAGGCGGTCTCGGAAAACTATCCAGTCAGAGGCCCGGGGAGAGGGAGGTCCCCGAGCACCGTCCAATCAGGCGCGGGGGCGGGCGCGC